CCCCATGCTACCCCGGTCAATCTGAGAACGCCCCGCACCACCTTGTTAATACGATCAATACGTAGAGCTCACTTTGACTACCAACACTCGGGAACAACAGGAGCACAGATTGTATCGCCTAGGTGCAACCATCCAACCAGCCGGGGAACTACAATCCTCAGCATTCCTCGCAGGAAGTCAGAGGCAGGGCATGCTGGGAGCTTTTATCTTTTTAAGCCTCCCAGTGATTCCTACGTGCCGCTGGCTAGCATTGCCCCGTTGTCAAGTGCACTTTAATCTGTCTGCATGACCTTCAGATGCAGCAAAAGAGCTTCACAACAAGCCGCCACTCACCTCTGTAGCTGCTTTTATTGTGGAGTTCTTCATTCTCAATGATCCTCAAAGAACAACAAAGACTCTGAAGATTGGATCCCAGAAGCACCCGCTGTGCGTTTACAGATCTGCCAACATCCTCTCCCATAGATATACACAGTGCCCGCGTTCTGAACCTTGACATTCAATTTCTCCACAATGCTCATTCAATAGCCCATTCACACCTAACGCACCGCAAACAATGCGCATTTTACTGGCAATGCATGTACCGCGGTGCAGCGCGTCACATGACCGTTCATTTTCAATAGAGCCTCAGCACGCTAACACAACGCACGGCAGCACACAGATGTGAATGATGCGTGCATTGTGATGCAGTGTCTTTGGTGCATTACAAATAAACGGGCTTCTGCATGTAAAATGAACATTAACTCACATCCAACCTACGTGCGTCACCGCAACGCACAGGTGCAAATGTGCTCTTACTGCTTGCCTAGAATATGTAAATACTATATATTATTATTGTCTTTATTATTATAATAATTGTATTAATATAATAATAATAATAATGTTTTAATGACATTTAGGATTATTGTTATTAGTATTAATATTATTTTATTATTATTTTACTGATGATGATAATGATCATTATTATTATTATTCAGGATTTATATAGCGCCAATAGTTTGCATAGCGCTTTATTACTA